CTGCAGGATGACAGGACTTGAGAAGAATGCAGTCTTGAACTTCTGTTTTCTCCTCCAATAATACATCAAGTAACACTATCTACTACTTGAAAACTTTGACCGGGAATTGATTAGTAGTTATTATGCGGAGCATTTTTAGCAGGCAGTGGAACAGTATCTACTACTGAAAACTTTGACCAATAATTGTTTTGTAATTTTGCAGAGTGGTTTTAGCAGGCAATGGGGTGAGGAGGAACAGGCCTACTACACTGTAGTTTCAGGCTGACGTTGCTGCACGTGTCAAATAAAGGAAGTAGGACAGACATTAGCAAGGGTTTAGGAGAAGAAATGGGAATGTCTGAGGAGTAATCAGTGTTACCATCTGGGATTTGCTCTAACTTTATTATTGTGTGTCTGGCCTAATTGAAAGTGAGGAGCTGTTGAAATACTTAGTTTTGGTCAGGAAGAACTAGAAAGCTGATGAGGGAACTTTTAAACTCTGGCATATTTTTATGAGGAGCTAGGTTGCATGCAAGGGTAAAGAAAAGTAGCTAGAGATGTAATTCTGTCAAATACTTAGTTTTTAATCATAGAATGGTTAGGGATGGAAGCGACCTTTAAAGATTACCCAGTTCCACCCCCTTGCCATGGGCAGGGACACCTTCTGCCAGACCAGGTTGCTCCAAGCCCTGTCCAACCTGGCCTTGAACACTGCCAGGGATGGGGCAGACACGGCTTCTCTGGGCAACCTGTGCCAGGGCCTCATCACCCTCATAGTGAAGAATTTCTTCCTAGCATCTAAATCTCCCATCTATCTGTTCAAAGCCATTCCCTTTTGTCCTATTACTACCTGCCCTTGTAGAAAGTCCCTCTCCAGATTTCTTGTAGGCCCTGTTTAGGTACTGGAAGCTGCTCTAAGGTCTCCCCAGAGCTTTCCTTCTCCAGGCTGAACAAGCCCAGTTCTCTCTTGCCCATCTCCTGCACATTGCTGCCAAATAAAAGGCTGCTTAACAAGCATGCAGCATGTAAACTGGTGCTTTTCCAGTCCTTTATTTAAACTCGGGCAGTTTAATTTTCGCTGAAGTACAATTTTTTAAATTTTTGTGTGAAGAGATAAACTTGTTTTTTAAAGTAGTCTGTGAAGGTTGTTTGTAATGTTTGTGTCAATGGATGTATTGGGGCACATGGATGACAATTGTCAAATTCCTCCTGAAAATGACTGGACAAAAGTATAAGTTTGCTTGGGTTTTATTGGTAGAAAACCTAGTGTAAGTGCTCAGTACAATAGTATAAACTGTCTTACAGTTGCTTCTACTTGTGTGAATGGTGTAAAGCAGCATAAATGTCTTGAGGCTTTCACGTACCACCTCTATTTCTGATGACTGCAGTGATTTCTCTTGCTACCTTCTCTTTTAATATGTCAGTGTAATTGATCCCAGCCATTCTTTTAAAATGTGTCAGTGTGCTAGTTCTTCTGAAAAATAGACCCACGTATATTTGTTTCATGGAGCAGCTGTTCAGTTTTCCATAACTCTTGACAGTAATTGATGGGGTGACATTCTTCAGCCCTGCTTTATTTTTGTTAGTTTTCAGGGTATTTTTTATGCCTACCTCTGTAGCACATCACCAATTTATTTTGTGAAATCTGTATGTAATGACTTAGGAACTAAACTCATACTTTTTTTTTTTTTTTAATATCGTGTGTGTGGAATATCTCTTACTCTTTCAGGTCCCAATTCAGATTTTTCTGATCTTTCTGCTAGGGTTGGTAGTCTTGTGTGCTTCTCATGGTTTCTAGGTCTTTCTACATTTAGTTATGTGGAGTTTTGCTGATGTACTCATGATGTGTAAGGTTCTGGTCATGCTAAATACGAATGTTTTCTCCTATCAACTGGATTTATGAAAGTAAAATTCTTTGTTAGGATGCATTGCTCTTGTTTAAGACAAGTAGGTATTATGCAGAAAGTTAAACCTGCTTGGAACAAGAAAATACTCTTGACAGCTCTTGTTCCAGAATTGTAGTTTAGATAGTCCTCCTGCTTTCAGGAATGGCTTTACTTCTGGAAGACTACTGAAGTAGCCCATAGTCACCATCTGGTGATTTTTTTTCTAGACTAAAAACCCCCAAATTACTTTCTAGCAAGGTTTTACACTTTTTTCTATGCATATCCTTTAGACTTTCTCTCAGATATAAACACATACAAATATATATATATGCGTGTGTATAGCACTTGTATCGTGTGGCCAGAATAAAACGGTGCCTGAATTTACCAATTTACTTATTCTGTTTTAAACACTTGTGTTATGACAGTAGAGGACCCATGAGGAAGAAGAATGAGACACCTTCTTTCTCTCTGGTTGTTCTTGAGCCCTTTGTTTTTTCAGTTGTGCCTTCCCCTGCCCCCATGTATCTCTGGTCATGCCTTAGCAGATAGGTATTTTGCTGGGTGCTCATAATATAAGTTCTCACGTAGAACATTGTTTTTTAAAAAAGCAGTGGTCCTTCTGAAGTGTTTGGTTCTGTATGTCTTGCCTTGCACATTTTCAAGGTGTAGATAATAAGGCATGCACACACTCAACTCCTGATAAAGAAGCTGATTCTGAAGTCTTAGGTGTTTCTCTGTCCCAAGTTTTAGTCGCTTGTTTTTAACCAATAAGATATTTTTAGTCATCTTGTATTATACTTGATGCTTTTCAGCCAGTAACCACAGTTACCTTCCTCCTTCTTGCTTCTTACAGAGTTTTCATAAATGCTTTCTTTATTGCAAGCTTTGCAGAACAGTGTATCACATTCTGTTCTGTAGTTAAAGAGCTGGAAATTAGAAATAGAAATCTTTAATTAAACAGTTTGAGCCATTAGGATCTTTCTGTGGTACAAAGAACTGTGTTGTTAATGTTGTCACTTGAGCACTGGGCCTAGCATCTCACTCTTACAATGTATTTGTAATGGAATTCACTTTGAGCTGCCTATTTGATGATGAAATTCTTGAGGTTAATCTATTTTTCTTCCTTTGAATAGGTTTAGTATTTAGCTGCCTTAGTGTTATTTGGTCTTATAACATGTTTGTCAGAGCTGGGTAATACGAAAATAGTTTCAAAACTATAGAATGCTTATTTCTTTGGTCTCAAGGTTGCCTCTTAAGTACTCTGGATAATGTTATTTGACAGTAACATTGGTTTTGATCTTTTTTTCCTGCGAGATAAAAGTTCTATCTTTCTGCTTTCTAGTCTCTAACAAGCAGAGAGAGGGCAAAGAAGGAAGCAGAGTTGCTATGTGTTCCTGTGTTTAATTTGTAATCCACTTTTGCAGACTTTATTTACCTGCTCTCATTTGTGTTTTGTGCTGTTTTTCGTGTTCATGAATTGTGCCTTTGGTTTGCTGTGGAGATTTTTATTCTCCCTTAAACACACATGCATGCCAGCTTCCTGCCTGTTTGCTGTGGCAAACTGCATGGTCTTTAAAGAATTTATGCACCTTTCGTTACTGATTGTGGATGCTTTTTGTATTCATGTAATTGCTACATCTGTGAAAGAGTTTGATATATAAATGAGTAACTCCCTCCCCTTGCCTTGTTTAACACCAATTCATATGACCTGTATGCTTACAGAATTACTTTAAATTTTTGTCTTTACTTAGATGGTTGGCAGTAACAAGTCTCTTCTGACCTAGGAATTCCTTCATCAGTCATTCACTTGAATTTGTATTAGTTCTGTGATACACAGAATTGCATCTCTTAATATAAAGGAGTTTCTTTTAAATATGTTCTTCCAGTGTTAAGATTTGTCAGTCTTTTCTGCCCATGCCCTCCTCTCTTCCCCTATTTCATATTCATTTCTAGGAAAGCATCACAGTATAACGTATTTTCCATAAGTTTTCATGTTCTGCTGTGCTTCAAAGATTTTTTTTTTTTTTTTTTACTTTTTCCCCTCCCCCCCCCACCCCCCACATATGGAATACATTGTCTGTATCTAACACTACAGTACCAGCTATGCTTCAGCTCATCTTCTACTTTAATAGTACCCTTGGCTATCATTTAGAGTTAACTTGTTATTTCAGTCTTGCAGCAACATTCTCTGTAACTTTGAGGGTGAAGGATTTACATGTTGCAGCCACCCAGCTGTGCTGCAATGCGTGTGTGGTTATATTTTCCTGTGCTATGTTCATTGTCAGCCCTATTGCAAGCTTACAGCCAAGTTGTGTTCTGAGATCTGCCAGGAGTCTGGGGGGGCTGGGTAGATGGGAATACTGGAGGCTGGAGGAAGGCTAAGTCTGCTTGTAAAGGACAAAGGATAATGGTAGGAGTGAGTAGAAGGTGTTGGGAGAAATTGTAGGGTGGTACTGAGTGATTTGAGACTGTGAGAGAGAATTGGAGGGCAAGATATGGTGGTGTAATGTAGTAAGAGATTTTGTTGTGCTTGTCCCTGTGTGCATTCACAAAGATGCAAAAGGGAGCGCCCCAACTCACCTGTAGGTTCAGTGATCTGCTACCACCTGTGAGGGTGAAGTGCTACCGTATGCTCCCAAAGTCGTCTTGACTCACTGGTTTCTGCTTTTAACTTGATGTAATTCACTGACTTATGAGTGGTATAGTAGAAAGTGGATACTTCATGTGGGTGAAGGACTGATTTTCTACTTTATCTTGGATAACAACATGGCTTACTCTAGGCAGTAATGAGCATGTGTTTGCATGCTGGCTGCTTTTTGATGAAAGGTAAGCTTTCTTGTGTTCTGTGGCTGTTCCTACTGCAGCAAAGGAAGTGGTTTGGACAATGAATTGGACACGAACATGCTGCTTTTAATTGAGCAAACCAGTGGGAAAATCGTAATGACAAACATTGTCATAACTTTCTCCATCTTATGTGATGGTTGATTAAAGCATTATTGCTGCCCTTTAATTAGGAATTTTATTTTCATTGGAATATGTTTTTCTTCATACTTATTTTTCCCTGTCTGCTCACTTGTATGAAAATTTGCATGAGTCCCCCCCCCAACAAATAAGTAACTTTTGTCTTTCTTTTAGCAAACTGAAAAAGCTAAGTGAAGATAGTTTAACTAAGCAGCCTGAAGAAGTCTTTGATGTTCTGGAGAAACTTGGTGAAGGGTAAGTGCAGCTATTTATAAGGGGATGGAATCAGAGGGAAAAGGCATATAAAGCATGTACTGGAATATTAAATTACAAAGAGAGTGGTAGTCCTAAGGAATGCTTTTTTAGACAAGTTTTTATAATAAAGCAAATGCACGTATCAGTAAACTTCCATGTATCCCCATATGTATTTATGCATTTTTTGATTGTCCCTTGTTTATTAACACAGCAAAGGTGTTGTGCCTGGAGTTAGATACTCTACATCTTGATAAAGATTTATTATTCAGAGGCATGGCTTTCCTGATGTCCCCAAAGAACCGAATTTTTTTCAGCCTGAAAAACCCTTCAAACTTCTGCATGAATATATGGCTTCTGTGACTTTTAGAGGTTCTGCATAATGGATGTGAGAAGCAGTCTACCTTGGTTAAAAAAAAAAAAAATCCCTCTTTTATTTTTAGGTCTTATGGTAGCGTGTTTAAAGCAATACACAAAGAATCTGGACAAGTTGTAGCAATTAAACAGGTCCCTGTGGAGTCAGATCTTCAAGAAATAATTAAAGAAATCTCTATAATGCAACAATGTGACAGGTAGGTATGACAGTTCTACTCCCTTTCTCAGAGTGTATGTGAAAATGGATTTGTACTTGTGAATATAGCTGAAATATATGTAGTTGCAAACTTTTGTTACATGGAAAATTAAAACAGTCTGTGTTGGACAATTTACTTAAAGGAACTACTTTGTGGACCTCCTGCTATCTTTAGCTTGGGTTTAAGGATGTACAAATAATCTACATAAACTGTTGAAAGAGTGAGTACTTACCTCTGCTTAGAATTCTCCATGCTTGCTTCAGTTTACTTGTACTGACAGTCCTGAAGGTTAGTACTTCCTGTAAATGTCTTAGGCCTTGTGAATTCAGAATTACCTCTTTCAGAAGATCAGTAAGGATTTTTCTAGCACATAATTAATGACTAGTTAACTTCCAAAATAGAGTTCTGTCAGTTGCCTTTTTCGTGCAGGAACAGACCTTTAAAAAGTGAATAATCTTGTCATAGTTCTGAAGAAGGACTGTTATCTTATACTTGTTCACAAATGGTACATCCTATGACTGCTAGTATTCTAGTATGGTAGGAATGGAAGCCTTAATATCAAATGTCTGCAAGGATGCAGAAATTACTTTGCATTTCCTCTCTTTTGTGGAGATACTAATTTCTTATTTGTGTATTTTTTTAGGATAATCTTTTAAGGTTTTGGCTGTAACTTTGAAGTTTGTCAAACTAATTTATTCATCTACTTATCTAACTTTTTTTCCCCCAATCTAGCCCCTATGTTGTCAAGTACTATGGCAGCTATTTCAAGAACACAGATCTATGGATTGTTATGGAATATTGTGGAGCTGGCTCTGTTTCGGACATCATTAGACTTCGTAATAAAACTGTGAGTTTTTTTTTTGTTCCCCCTCCCCCCCCCAATATATGACACTTATTAAAATTAAACTGTGAATTAAGACAAGAAGCCAGAATAAAAGTCACAGTTACGAGATAAGATCTTGATGCCAAGGGGTATATGTGTGCCTTGGTTCCTTAGGAAACAAGCACATGCAGTTGCTGACTACCTGTGGAGCAATCTTCAGCAGAAGCCAATGCATTTTGAAATATGATGATCCTTTAAGTTTCTTGAAAATTACAGTTTTGTATAAGGCAAAACTGTTGGCAACTTCTCCGCTCTACCCCTTCCACCTCACAGTGTGTCAGCAGGCCATTTAGTGCATGCATGCTTTGGAAACAAGCATAGAATTGTCTTGCTGTCTCTCAGCAATTAGGGAGCATGAGAAGTATCACTTAAGGAATGAGAAGGAGAAGGCATATCAGTTAAGGAGTGTGAGAGGGAACCAAAACAAGGGTTGTATGGAAGAGTCTTAACAGGCTTACAACAGCAGTAACGTAAAATTGGTCTGGGTGTGCTTAGTACAGAAAGGACAGACTTCGATGTCAGAGGCTTTTCAAGAAATACACCTGTAGTGGAGTAAATGGGGAGTTCTATCATAAGTGAGTAGTTGGATTAAATGTAAAAAAGAGGGTGTAAGTAAAAGTTCATTTTGGCAGTACTACATGGGTCTGTGCTATCTATCCTTTTTGGGCAAGAGGGTAGAAATACTGATGAGAGAGGTTATATTCCTAGTAGTAAAAACAGGGAAAGGCTTGAAAGACTTCGTGGTACTGTGTGTCTGACTGAGAAAATAAATATAAGTAAATGTAAAGAGATATGTTTGGCTTGGTGGGGGAGGCAAAGCCTTTATATACAGGTTCACAAGCACTTCAGCCTAATGTTTAGAAATAATTGAACAATTACACTGGTTGCCAAAGATTACAACAGTATCAAGGACAATACAGAACTTCAAAAGTTAGAGAAAGGTGACAGGTGTTCAGAAGTTAAGAATACTTGTCTAGAAGGAGATATTAAATGGATAGGATACTTCTTTGTTGAGAAGAGGTAGCTGGAGGGAGAGATGTGATGGAAGGTTTTGAAAACCATGAGTAGCACAAAGAAAGTGAGTTAAGATATGGCTGTATCTTACTGTTTATTACAAAATAAGAGTTAGTAGATCCAAAGTAAAAATTTTTTCTCAACATGTGATGATGACATCCACTGTATAATTATAGATCTTATTAGATGCTACAAGTTTTATTTTCAAAAGGCAATTGAGTAAGACCAGGAAAAAATTACTGTGGCTGAACACAGGTATTTAGTGGCTGGAGCAGGAAATGCTTATGCTCCTATCTCTAGGAGGGTGAAGCAGACAACTACCACTGTTTACTTGACGTGCTTACATTCAGACAGGCTACCAACCTAGATAGAACTTTCATTTTGGCTTAGGAGAGGGTGTGTTCTGGTGCATATAACAAAAAACCCCAAACAAATAAACAAAAACATCCCAAAGCAGACTCCTTCATTTCTCATTTTGCCATGTGTATGTCTTGCAAGTTTTGGAAGATTGAGGCAGAGGCTTTGGACTTGTTTGATTTCTCTTGCTCTTTGTGGAAGAGTGATCTGATCACCAAGACTGCTGTGTGATGGAAAGTTTGTGACTGTGTTAATGGAATGAGGCTGCTTAAAGTAATTCATCATTTTGTTAAAAAAGTGTGTATGTATATATACACACACGCATCTATTTAATGGAAATAAGAAGTGGTTTCACTGTACTTTTCACAAGAAAAAAAGAAATGTCCTCACTTGGAAGTTAGGAGGGAATTGATTTCTACTTTGTCAAAATGTTTGTTGATTAGGCCTAGACACACAGGGTTATGTGTTCCTTAATTTTCCTAAATTGTCAAATGAAGACTGGCTTGGCTGGGCCAAGAAAATGTTTGTTTTCTGCTTCTCTGTATATAAGAAAAAGAAACTTGAGGAGGAGAGAGTTGAAGTAGGAACCCCTACTTTAATGCAGTGGTCACTAAGATTATAATTTGGAATCAATGATCTTAAAGGTCTTTTCCAACCTAAATGATTCTATGATCATATCAAAATAAGTCATAGGAAAAGGTGGATGTCTCTGTGCATTTGGTGAGAAAACATTACTGTGCATTTGCCCTTGTTGCTTATCTCAAACTAAGAATTTACCAATCATCTTTTCTGGTCTCTGTGGTTCCCCGTCTTCAAAAATTTTGTTTGTCTAGAAGATAAACAACACTGGACTTTAATGGACAAAAAATGAGGGAAGCAGAATTCAAAAATAATTGTTTTTATTTAACAGACTGTTGGGAGCCTATTCATATACAGAGGTTTTCAGCTTGACAGGAGTAGGTTCTTGTCCAAGATGCCCAAGCCACTACTTTGAAGTTAGATCGACCCCTGGAATTCTGCCTTGAAGCCTTCTAGTGTGCCAGGCAGATCAGCAGCACTAGAGCAAGCTTATGGTGCCTGTTAGCTCATCGGAAGTGTGGTGTTAATCAGTCCAAGGTAAAAAAGCTGTGTGTCTAGTTTTGTTTGCTTTTCTCAGAGACTGATTTGGGAGATACATGTATCGTACAGCTAAACTGGGGGATTGCAACCAGAGAGGGCAGTTCTGCTGTTGTTTTCCATGCCTCAGATGCTGTGATTGTGTGGCTGTAGGGTAATCTTGGATAAGGTTGATGGCCTGTCTGATGGGAGAACTTTTTCTACTCTAATTTATCCTTCCCACCCACTTGTAAGCTAACTTGGGACTTAATGGCAGGACAGTGGCTTGATCTGATGCAAGAGAGACATTAGGAATGAACAGTGGGGAAAGGGAAGGAAAAGAAGGAATGAGACTGACTTTTTCAGTGGCAGCTTGCAATAGTATGAGATAATTACAATGTGAAGCAATACTTTAAGTCCTCCTGGCTGCTATTAACATACGGGAGAGTATTCACACACCAGCAACTCTGCCTCTATTGATAATTTAGGGTGCTCTTGCTCTACTGGATTATCTGGGTCATTCTAATCCTGTGTCTTTCGGGGGCCAAATTCGTGGCTGTAGCATAACACATAGTGGCTGTGCAGTGGGTTTGTCAGACAAAACCTTATTTGGGACAGTATTGTAAATGACAAGTGTAGCAATGTGCTGCTGTACAGGTGGTATGCTGCTTGGGTCCAGAGGTCCTTCATCTTTTATCTAAACTGTGACTCCTTCACATATCAATTTGTTTGTCAATTGCATATGCATTGCCTCATGTATTCTTACTGATTATCATCTCTTATGTTTCCTTAGCTAATTGCTTTTTTCTTTTTTTCATGTGTTTGAGCTCCAGTAATTCAAGTTAATAGTGTATCTGAATCTCTAGATTCTTCTAGATGCTGTGTTTGAATGTCCTTCTGGTTTTGCTTTTTCTATATGCTACCGTGGGGGTCCAGGTGTCCCCTCTCTGGGCTGGAAGGACTTTGCTCATAAGAATGTTATTTTTGTATTTTTAAGACGTCATGTTTCTCAGTAATTTCATAGTTTGGCCTTTGCTGCACTAAAGTACATGTGATTTGCAGCTGTAAATTGGGTATCTAAGACCTAATGACTCTCTTATGTTTTCTGTTTAAGTAGCATCTGTCCTAGTATAAGTTCCTCAGTTGAGCTCGTATGCATTAATGAATAGCCAGCCAGTCCATACACAAAGACTGAAATCCCTTCTATGCTGGCTAACTTTCTTTAACTGATCTCAGTGTCCAGAAGTTATGGCAATGGACAAGTCTATCCTGGATATACTGCTGACCATGTTCTGTTGGTAACTCTTGAATCAGTGGGCTAGTCAGCTGTATTACTGTTCGGAGACTGATGTTTAGGGGTCTGAGGATAAATTGGCCAGCCTGTAATTCCTCAGATTATTCTTCCTGCTATTTTTGAAGATGGTTTCACAAGTGACATCCCCGATTGCTGTAACTTTGTAAAGCTGTTAAGAAGTAGCCTTGGGTTGGCACCTTTGGATGTATCTCATCTGCTTCCATGGATTTGTATTTGTCCAATTTACTAGAGTAATTCCTAACACATTCTGTTTGGCTATTAGGCCAGAAAAACCCTACTAAAGACTGATGCAAAGAAAATGCTTAGGAGATTTCTGCATTGTTTGTCAATAGATTGACTACCCCATTTAGTAGCAGGTCATGCTGCTTTCTATGTCCTTATTAATCTGTTCCTGCTTTTCATATAGAGTTATAGAATGGTTTGGGTTGGAAAGGACCTTAAGATCATCTAATTCCAACCCCCTGCCATGGGCAGGGGTGCCTCATGACACCATGTCAGCCAAGGCTCTGTCCAACCTGGCCTTGAATGCTGCCAAGGATGGAGCATTTACCACTTCTTTGGGTAGCCTGTTCCAGTGCCTCACCACCCTCACAGTAAAAAACTTTTTTTTTAATGCCTGATTTCTTTTTTTCTTTTTTCCTTCCGCCCCCCCGCTCCCTTCTGATATGCTTTGGTTTTAACACATCAGCTCAGTCAGGAGTTTCTAGTTCATTCAAGATGGTCTCCTGCTCTTCTTGCTCATTATCTTGCATGTCAGGAAGGACTGTTTTCATACTTTGAGGTGGTTGCCTTTGGTGCTCTACCAGCTCTTTGAGGTTTGATTGCCCTTTAGGGCAGCATGCCCTGGGATCCCACATACTATTTCCTTTAACAACCTGAGGTTTGCTGTCTGGAAATCTGGTTCTGCTGCTTGCTTTTGTTGCTTCCTTCTATATCTTAACCTCTACCATCTCATAGTCACTTGCCAAGGCTGCTGCTGCCATCCCTGTGGAGTACTTACTCATGAGTAGTTGGACTAGTAGAACACTCCCTGTAGTGGGCCAGTACAACACCTACAGTAAAAATTATTACTGCTCACTTTTGGATATTTTTGTACCCTGCCATGTTGCCCTCCAAGGAGGTACTGAGGTGGTTGACATATCTGTGAACAATGGGCCTACAGTCAGAGGCTTCTTCCAGTGCT